TTCACTCTCATGCTTCTCAGCTCACAATTACGTCCCCCTCTCTTGTTTGGCCTCTCTTTTGTTCCATATCGCATCAGTTCAATATTGGTATAGGTGCCTCTAACGTCAACGCATCTTATTAGCACCTGTGTGATTCTCTTTGCTGCTATGGCACTCATCGTTATACGCATTGTAATACTCCGGCCTCTCAGGCTCCAAATACCTTTAAGTCTCAAGCCAAGGCTCTATTCCTCTGAGGATCGGTTGCCGTCAATTAATTTTCTCAATTGTATAGGTAACGGCCTCAGGATTTTCGACTCCGTCCGATTCATTATCTATTTGCGTAATCCCAGACGTCGCTATATGTTCTTGCTACTGTGGCTCTCACTCCTAATCCTTTTGGACTAGTCCGGTTTCTCAGGCTCCAAATGCCTATGGGTCTCAAACCAAGGCTTCTCTTCCTTGTTACATCGAGTAAAGTTCTCATTGGCATAAGAAGCAGCCTCATGTACTCGCCTCCGTCTGATGCATTATAATATGCTTGTACCCCTGCAAATTGCAATTTCATGTCTCTGATTGACTTTTGCCTCTCGGCTCCACTATTATGCATCTTAGCTTTCAATTACGTTCCCCTCTCTTCTTTGGCCTCTTTTTTGGTCCATATTGTTTCGGTTCAATGCCGGTGTAGATGCCTCTAACGCCAACGCAACTTCCTAGCCCCTGTTTGATTTTCTTTGCTACTGTGGCGCTTATTAAATAAATAGATAAATATTTATTCTTGACTATGCGATGCACGCCAGTTGAGTCATGTTCAGGTATGTACAGCTGTACAGACATTTTATGGGAACTCTAGTGACAGTAGAAATTTGTTCATATATCCATGCTTGGACTGTGCGATTGTGAACATGCGACATAACGATTTGGTTGTAGTGGGATCGGGATCCATTTGTTTGGACATAATCGCTCTGCCATATATCGCAATCATACCTCGAGTAATAATAGATAAAGAATCCTGAGTGATCCATTGGAAGATAATTGAAGAGCAAGCTATCCAGTATGATGATTCTAATTGAGCTGCCAGTGTGAAGTTATGGGCTGTGACATCATTCGGTGGCGAGTCACATGCGCCACGTTGCAGTGTTGTCAAACGGACATTTGTGGCTTTTTATAGGGAGAACGCTTGCCAGGCGAAAACCCACCACGTCCTGAAACACTGCCGCCAATCCATTGGATGGTAAGTTGTAACTAGCTATGTTTCTTGTTAAAGGTTCTTTTGCTCAGTTATTCGCAGTCAAGTTGCGTCCCATTTTTCTGCTGACTGATGCGCTATGCGAGTTGCCATTGCGTGCCTGGGTCCTCTCCTGTACCAAATCGGTAGGTCAGGAACTATGCATTCTTTCTGGATATGATGTGTTGATTATCGGCAGAACCACGTGAAGCCTCGAAGAATATACGTTGAAATATGTTGAAGTCTTGGAGGACAGGATAGGTTCCGAAGAAAGAATCGCAGATCCCCCGGGGTATGTAGTGAAATTGATTAGAGATAGGGGAAACCACGGTCATTTGAACGGTCAAAGCGGATTGAAGAGCTTAGAATGACCGATTGTTTAAGCTTTGTTTTGGCAGAAGAATGTGCCTTCCGTAGTCGAAAGGCCTCCAGTCAAGAGATATGTGGAAGAGGTATTGTTAGGTAAATTGGACTCAGTGGTTCATGCCGCGGAAGAATTGTATCACTGCAAGATATTGAATGAATTGTCCGGTTAGAAAGTTGTAAAAAAGTTCATAATTTTCCGCTCACGTCCAGGTAGAGGAACTGTGTGCCTTGTAATGTTGTCGAAACGGAGGACAATTCCTTGGGTGCGTGTCGACGTACCTGGGACAGACTCGGGAGAAAAAGGGAACACAGACAGTTAGCGCGAAGTCGTCGTAAACTTTGGGAAAGATACATCTGCGTGGGTTGTGAAGAAGATTACGCGGGGTACAGGAAACAGCGTAATTTATGTAACGCTGCAAATTTTAAGAAACGCCGGCAGTTCGAAGAGGAGCTAGCATCCTCGGCCACAACTTCATTCAAGCGAATATTTGCCTACTTGAAACGTCAACTGAAACCTGGAGACGACCTACCGGTCTTAGAGATCTTAGACGGGAAGACACGCATTTCAAACGCGGAGCGCGCGGACGCCCTGGCTACGCACTTCCTCACTGTATTTTCCAGTAAACCGGCGGCTGTTTCAGTACCGGCACAGGTTTCGCAAGTCTTGCTCGACAGCCTACAATGTGATGCAGTTGAATTAAATCAGCTACTCGTCAACCTCAATGGTACAAAGCCCCCAGGCCAGACGGACTTCACCCACGAATACTCAAGTCCCTATCGATTATCATCTCACCAGTTGTGACAAGCCTTTTCAAGAGATCGCTCTCTGAAGGATCCGTCCCGAACGACTGGAAATGCTCGATAGTTAAACCACTTCCCAAGGGTGGTGATACGAGTAAAATAGAGAACTATAGACCGATCTTTTTGACTTCGGTATTATCCAACGTTCTCGAGAAGGTTGTGAAAAAGTGTCTGCTGTCGTTCTTTGAATCGATGGACGTATTGACGACAGCGCAACACGGCTTTACGAAAGAGCGATCCTGCATCACCAACTTGATGTACGCAAACCACCAGTGGGTTCGAGCTCTCAATGAACAGAAGGATGTTGACTTGGTGCACATCGACTTTAGTAAGGCGTTTGACAGAGTGAACCACGAGGTACTCCTTCGTAAACTGAGGACATACGGAATCGGTGGCACGTTACTTCAGTGGATAAAAGAGTTAACTGTGGGACGAAGGTTTAGAGTACAGGTCAATGACTATCTGACAGAATGGTTCCCATCGACCAGTGGCGTGCCACAAGGAACTGTACTTGGGCCAGCATTAG